TTGTTTGGTAACGATTTAGTTGGCAGATTTGTGAAGAATCTCATAAAATGCCCTTACTATCTTCACGCTTTTCCATCTCACTCCATGTTTAGTTAGTGTTTCCTCTGCCTCCTACAGTATAAAGGTTTGTCATGAATGAATTTTTTGCAGCCTTACAGGTGAGACTTTGTAAATTAGAATTGCGGCCCTGCACCATGGAGAACAACCCATTCACTGAGGTAGCTAGTCAGGCCCCATAATCCGCCACAGACAGAGCCAACACAGCCGCTGTTTGCCGTCTCCCTGGTGAACAGCCGATGTAGAGCCAGTGGCAATTATTTGGCTTAATCCCTGTTCTGACCTTCCAATGTTTTGGAGATGCTCTAAATCAGTTTGTCCAGCCATCACAACCTGGCCCTTGTCAGAGTCCCTCAGATTCTGTAAAATCCCAGATAGAATATAAAATCCTTAACTTATATATAATATGACTTTCTTTCTCTTTCTCTCTCTCTCTCTCTCTCTTTTTTTTTTCTTAAAACTTTCTGCTAAATCTCATAGCTAGGGCTGCTCATGCAGCCTTGATCCATCACTTTATAATCCTAATATAGGCCTAGACTACTGGAGGACTTTCCTTGATGCACTGAGCAGCTCAACTCTTCTTTTCTTCACTCTATATACATATATATATATATATATCTAGTCCATCAATGCATGTCTCTAACTTTGTGTCTTGTCTCCTGTATTTTGCATTTTGTCCTCGCTGCAGGTGTCTCTGGCTGTGAAACTAGCTGATCTGCAGTCTCTGGTCTTATCAGCTTTCTAGCTGTTGATTGTTCCCTTTTTAAAGTTTGACTGTTTCTCTGTTCTATTGTGCTCTCTCTCTCCTTGATCCTCACCCCAGCCCAACTGAACTGAATTCCTATACTGCGCATTTTTCCTGCTTTCAATGCATCAACTTCAGGTTTCAAGTGTTCATTTTCTGACTGATACAGTCATTAGCAAAAGTTTACATCTTCTTGTAAAGACCATGTACATCATGGCAGTCTTCAGTTTTCATTAAATCCTATAACTCCTATCCTTTTGTATGATGGAAACATTGAAAACCATTCATCTTTGTCACAAACAAATAAAATCAAAGCATGCCTTTTGGTTCTTTTATAGATGTATTAAAGGTTGTTTGAAAATATGAAAAATTCTGCTAGGTCAAAATATTCATTAAGCAATTGGCCATTGTGGCCATTTTCACCTCAGTTTGGTTCTTTTGGTTTCCATCTACAAGCTTCTGGTTTAATTAATTGGTACATTTCAACTAAATATGTTATCTTTCTGACATGGACTTGTTTCTTCATCAGTCCACAGGTTCTTCAGAAATCAGCATCAGAAATCAGAAAAAACTTTATTGCCAAGTGAGCTCACATAGACAAGTAAACTGCCAATAGTAAAAAGTAAAGTAAATACATGAAACTCACAATACTCATAAAGGGTTAGTAAAACAACAAGACAGCAACAGAGTTAGTAAGTAAAAAATCTAACATCTTAATCTAATGTCCTAAGAGGTGTTAATAAAAATTGAATTTACTACAAAAACAGACAAACAAAAACAGTGCCATTATATTTACATAAAAGATAAGATAAATTGCATTATTAAAAGGATTGCCCATAGATAAAACTATTAGTTGCACATGAGTCCGTTATTTGAAGAGTCTATTTGTGGTTAACTGGTTTGGTGTTTATGAGGGACATGGCCTGTGAGAAAAAGCTGCTCCGGTGCCTCGATGTTCTGGTTTTCAGAGTTCTGAGGCAGCAGCCGGAGGGCAGCAGTTCAAAAAGGCAGTGCCCTGGGTGAGAGGGGTCAGAGAGGATTTTTCCTGCCCTTTTCCTCACTCTGGAGGAGTACAGGTCCTGGAGGGGGGCAGGGGGGCACCACTGATCCTCTCAGCAGTCCTGATTGTCCGTTGCAGTCTTCTCATGAACTTCCTCAGCTGGTGGAGGTAGTAGAGTCTCTGCTGGGCCCTCTTCACCACAGAGTCTATGTGGATATCCCACTTTGGGTCCTACGAGATGGTCTTTCCCAGGAACCTAAAGGACTCCACAGCAGCCACAGTGCTGTTCAGGATGGTTTGGGGGTGGGAGTGCAGGGCTGTTCTTCCTGAAGTGTTCTTTGCTGATGGTGCGGGTGCATAGAGCATAGAGGACATAAAGCTGCCCAGCCTCACCTGCTGCTGTCTGTCTCTCTGGAAGCTGGTGATCCACTGACAGGTGGAGTCTGGCACCGACAGCTGGGTGAGTTTGGGCAAGAGGAGATCCAGGACGATCGTGTTGAAGGCCGAGCTGAAGTCCACAAACAGAATCCTCGTGTACGTCCCCAGTTTCTCAAGATGTTGCAGTGTGTAATACAGTCCCATGTTGGCTGCATCATCCACTGACCTGTTTACTCGGTAAGCAAACTGCAGGGGGTCCAGCAGGGGTCTGGTCATGTCTTTCAGGTGGGCCAACACTCGTCTCTCAAAAGACTTCTTGACCACAGACATCAGAGCATCAGGTCTGTAGTCATTCAGCCCTGTGAGCTTGGGTTTGTTAGGGACCGGGATGATGGTGGAGCGTTTGAAGCAGGAAGAGACTTCACGCTGCTCCTGTGATCTGTTGAAGATCTGAGATCTGAGTGAAGACAAGTGACAGCTGGTCTGCACAGACTTGATGGCTGTGTGGAGAGATGGTCAGTGTGGGGGTGGGCTGTGAGATGGTTCTTTTCCAATCTCCAGTAAAACAGATTCACGTTGTCAGCCAGTTGTTGTTGTTGGATGTGGAGGTAATCCACCTTCTTCATTATTCAGTTATTTTGTGTAAAGCAAATTTTAATTTGTGGCAGCTAAACAGCCCCAGAACAGATACTACTGCCACCTTAGTTGGATAAAGATGAACTAGATGTGTGTTTACACTTATTTTGCCATGTTTCCACACACAGAAATGTGTAAAACCAAAGTGTATAAACTAATTGAGGAAAGCAGAGTGTTGACACGAACAGAAAATTACAGTTATTGACCTCTTTAGCCACAAGAGGGAAGTAGAGTCAAAAAAT